GACATATCATTGAGAAAAAAAGGTTAAAAAGAAATTTAAACAAAACGGCAAGTTCCCCTGAACGGGATCTCCATCCCGACTGGGACCGCTTTCGCGGTACAATTCTTTACTACTAAACTGCATGGAGCTTGCCATGAGTGGAGAGCAAAATTTAAGATTATATGTAACAATAAAGTACGTACTGCAAGGAACAAACGCACAAATATTTTGTGGAAAACAGAACAGTGTATTTCCTCATGCAAAGTGTTTAAGGAAAGGGTAATCTGACCTGCCAATAAGTAGAAAAAAGCATTCGATGCTGTCTTGAATGCATAGACCGGTATACATAGACATTCCAGATTATTTAAAAGCTCTGTTTAAAATGAAGAAAAGGAAGAAATTGTCTAAAGAAAATTTGAAAAGGAAATCAAACAAAACAACGGCAAGTTCCCCCGGACAGGATTTGAATCCTGACTTACTTTAGAAATAAAGCGGCTACATTTGTCTCTTTGCCTGATCGTGTTTTGAGTAGGAAAGATAGGAGAGTGTGTCTGAGTGAAACGCTTTTTTATCCGCAGTCTTCAGGTAGCTTGTGGTTCAGATTGTGACAAAATATATTCAAGAACAGCTAAAAAATGAAAAAGAATAAAACATCACCTGACCTGTCTGACAACAGAAGAGATGTTTACGACAATGTCGAAGATCAGAATTTAGTATAACGTAAACAAAAAAGGGACAAGAGTTAGTATAACGTAACTTAACGATGTATCCTAACGAATATGTGAATATTAAAATTGGATGGGCAATTGACAGCTCCACCGGTGAAAGCAAAATACTGGGATTAATATATGACGCCGATTTCTTAAAGCTAGCTAAAATCTTTGCTGAAGCTTTATAACAAACCCTTGAGCAGTGAGATCAATTTGATGCTAAGGTTGGCGTCTTTGTGTATATGATGCCGGACGATTTGAAATCACGAGGTCTCAGTTTGATCGTTGTAGAAGTCAGTTTGCTCATAACCTTAAATATTTTGTCTCTTGTTGGAACCACCTTGGTTTGTATTTCGATTTGCAAGAATAATCGACTTCGAACGACAACAAACTTGTTCATTATGGTTTTGGCCGTGAGCAATTTGCTCTCTGCTGTGTTTGTGATGCCCATAAGCGCGAGCGTATTGATAGCAGGGAAACTGGATCTTTGGCAGAACGCTTTGCCAACTTTACGCCCTCTTCAGCCTCTTTGTTATCTACGTTTCTCCTGTAACCGTGGGCTTAAAAGCTGTAAATCGTTATGTGAGGATATGCAAGTCGGATCAGCAGTACAGGAGACTGTTTTCAGCGAGAAAGTCGCGCGCTATGATTGCCTCCGTGTGGAGTTTCATTGCATGTTACACGGCGGTTCCTCGACTGTTCGGTCTTCAAGCGTACGAATTGGTCTCTGGTTACGCTCAGCGCTCTATCTTACACCTCAGCGAAACCGGCAAATTTATTCATTACGGCATCGTTATTACGTTGCTCTTTTCGACGCCGTTAGTAGCAACTACACAAAAAGTCGCGAAGATGATCCGACAGCACAATGTGTTTGCAATAACAACGATTCAAAGACGAGAAAGCGCTCGGGAAAGAAGTCGTAAATGGCGAATAAGCATGGGTATCACCAATCATGAAATCAATGTAGTATTGTCTTGTTTATCGGCTCAACACGCCACCTTATGAAATGGGTCGACTTACTGTGGTGAATTAACAGGGCCTAATAACAAGACCAATAGGTGAACACGCCTGACAAATGTCAATACGAAGGGAAGTACACGGGGATTAAACTAATTTAATATTTAACCGATGTGGAAGTGCATATCAGGGGTCATTAACCTATGCTCATGTGACCAACTGTTAGACAAATTACTTTGATTGCCAGACCCTTTTATAGAACGCTGAAATAAATTTAACTTGCATGAGCTGGTTGGAATTAAGGAGGCTTTGGTAACTTTGTCCAGTAATCTGAATTGGTGCTCCAATATTGTTTTGCAATAACTGCTCATAAGTCCTTTTCGCTCCTCGTAGGGGTTTAAATCCAGCAGTCATATAACTGTGGGTCTTCTGTGACCAGCTAACGCTTTTGCAAGTTGTTAGCGCATCACCCAGTAGCCTCAACCTAACCGGTAGATGTATAGTGGGACAGACTATAACTCCGGGAAACATATGTTCCCCAGTATTCTTTTTCAGGATCGCCCTGGAAACCATTTCAGTGAGCAGAGCCTCCTGGGCAAATATTATTATCATCATCATTATTATCATAACAATTATTATTATTATTATTATTATTATTATTAATCATTATTATTTTTGTTAGTCATCTTATATCATTTATAACAAAGGATTAATACAGTCTTCTCATTATAGTAATTTTCTCTGTATTTTATCGTTTTGTAACTATTTGATGATTTGTAAAAAAAGATTGATTATTGATGATAAAAATATTATCATCACTATTATTATTATTATTTTTATTACCAGATACATGT